TCAATAAATTAAGGGGTAACAATTCAATATTATATAAATACTATATACGTATAATTATATGTACATATCTATTTACTCCTTAAATTATTTTATATATATCTATGTATATCAATTGTATATTGTTTGTTACAAAATTTGGTATTTATTTTGAGGATAACTTTGAGGATACAATTTAGGATCAATTTAGGATCAATTCCGTAAATTCGCTGATATGTCTTAAAATATTATTGCTTTAAGTTTTAAAAATATTAAAATATTTATCAAATTAATGATTATAACAAAATTTTTATAAAACTTTAAATAAAATTATTTTAACAATTATTTAATAAATTTGATAAAATATTTTATTTTTATTTTAAAAAATAGTTAAATTAAAAAAAATACTAAAGTGAACTAAATAATCATTTAAATATCTTTAAGATATGATTTGCACTTATTAAAAAAAATAATTATAGATCTATTAAAATAACACTTTTATATTAGATGATATGCCTAAATAGGGTTGCTAATAAAGTACTTTATTAATTTTATTTTAATAATACTTTAAGATATTATTATTAAAATAAAGTTAACAAAAAATGACAATTCTAGTGTAATAGTTAGGTTGTTATTCTTTATATAATAAATTCAGAATTTAAATTTTATTAATAGTAGAAATTTGAAAATTATACTAAAACTAACTTTGAAAATATGTAATATTATATAAATAACATGGCCTCACTATTAATATTTAAAAAAATATTATATAAATAAATTCAGAAAATATATATTTTATAAAAAGTCCTGTTTGAAAATTCTAAATAGAAAGATAGTATAATTTTTAATAATATTATCTGTAAAAATTTTGATTCAAAAATAAAAACCTAAAGCAGGTGAACTATAAAGACAAAAATTCTAAATAAAAGAGTTTACCAATCTAGCTAACAGTTAAATTAGATATAAAATTACATTATACAAAGTTAATTAGATTAATGTATAAAAAAACTTGTAAGAAGATACAAGATACTAATAAAGTTGTAAAAAAGAATACTGAGATTGTATAAATTCTACAAAAGTATAATATTTTAAAGATTACTTTAACTGCAAATGTTGGTCTTAACTATAATAATACTAAGTCAACTAAAATTCAATAACAAAAGATTCCAATAGATTTAATATAATATCAAAGATTCTTTATATAAGTAAACTGTTTTAAAGATCTAATAATTATGATATATTTAAATTAGTAAAAACTAAGACAGTTAGTAGAATAAGTAGATGGATAGATACAGAAACCAGAGTGTTTAAATAAAGAACTCACAAGTGGGTTATAGATATAACAGCTAGTGTAAAATCTTTAGATGAACTACTTAAATTAAACAATGACTAAAATTGTATGAGTGACTAGTTGTATACTCTTCTTATGATTGCCTCTTGTGACTGTTGTAATACAATCACAAAACTGAAACATACTATTAATAAAAGCCTGGGTCACAAGTACTTAGCTTTAACATTAAAAAAAACCAAAAACAAATAAAGTCGACAGAGTGCTTCATTAACAGCCCTATGCCTAGAAATAAAGTTAGAAAAAATGGCATGATATAATTTTTTGTTTTAATATTTTCCCTTCAAACAATATCGGACTTCTTTATGTTCATTCATTTTATTTTCGAAATTTTTCGGATCATTTGCGTTCCTATTTCTTAATTCCGCCCAGCATTATATACTCCGACCTAAATTATATATACTTTAATTTTCCTATATAAATTTAGATGGGATAATTCGGAATCATCTCTACCTAGGGGCATGTCTATATAAAAAATTTGTCACGCAGAAAGTTTTGGAAGGCACATCTTTAAATCAAAACAATTAAGGTATGCCCAAAAATTTTTTCGTGCCTCCTACTAGCCAATTTCCTAATGCAATTACGAAATGCTAACAATTTTTTGTAAATATCGAAATAGAGATTTAAAAAATAAATTTATTGTTGTACGTAAAAATCCTCATTTTTCAACCGGAATTAATTTGAATTTAATTTAAAATTCAGCATAACGCCATTAACGATAATAGTAATGATTAACTTTGTTGATCTGAATAAAAAATCCGATTATGACGACGGTGGGGTTTGAACCCACGCATGTTTCCATACCAGGGCCTAAACCTGGCCCCTTGGACCACTCGGGCACGTCGCCAAATTATATGATTGAACGTTTTAATTTAATTTAATATAATTGTCTTGTGAGTGAACTGAACAACTATATCACGACAACCCTAGCATTCCCCCGAAAAAAAGTAGGGTTACACGAGATCGACAACAAATTATCCAATAACTGATTATGATTTGGTGTAACATAGTACGATCGAGAAGATCCAAAACAGAATGCTTTTTTAAAAAGTCGCTTATTTCACCTTTCGGAATGCTAGGATTGTCACTATACGTATCACTATTTGACCAATCGGATTATTGATTGGCTAAATATTTACCGGATTTAAGTCTAATGTTATACATATATGGCAAATTTAGTAAATTCACGAAAAAAATAAATATTTTTCGAACCATGATTGAATATTTATCCTAACATCAGTGACATAAAGAATAATGTTATGGTCTTCAGTATCCAGAGATTGAACTCAAATTAGGTTTAACTTTTGGATATCGACACCTTAGTTGAAAATATATATAATAACCGGATTTTAATTTTCTTGATGTATAGCGTTGAATTAGTCAATGAAATTCATATTCGTTGGTCGATATTGAATATCATTAAAAATAACAATTTGTTTATAAATCGTTATATATTTAAAGTTCGCTTTCTGTTTAATAATTTTTTTAATGCAACACATAAGAAATTAATTTGTTATTATAAATCCTGAAATTAAGAACTTGCTATGGGTCTTACTTATCAAAGGTTCGTATTGATCTTTTTTAATTGATTACAAATACAAAGTGAATTAACTAAAATATAAAGACAAAATGTTACTTCATTAAAATATTTTCACTAAAGACAGCTCCAATATATAAAACGATACTATTTTGCTAATATACACGTTTAACTTTTATTTTTGATAATAATCTTGCATCTTTTTTGTATAAATTAGAGTTAAATCGTTGAGTAAATGTAGTTGGGTCAAATGTCGATTGATAAATACTAGTAGCATTATTTTATTAATTATATGTACAAGGAGTTATGATGCGTCTCTCATAAAGGTTACGATGACTGAGAATATAATGACAATACTATCCAATATGTACTGTAATAAAGATGAAACTTTGCTAATATGTACTAAAGAATTTATTCACATGAATATTCTCGATATTGCTTTGGACCACATAATGACAAAAAAAAATCAAGAGTCAATTAGAATGACAAAAGCAAACTTCTTATCATTCGCTCATGAGTGTTATTTCAGAAATTAAATCCTTAAAACCACCCTATTTTATTTCAAAATAACACCATGTACATCTCGAAATAACGCGCGCGTACTTTGCACAACATGTACTAGCGAATATCAAGTCCAGAATTTTGATTCTTTATTTCAAATAATACATATGGGCGTCTTTAAATAATGTGCAGGTGGAGAAAGCAATTTGCAAGGCTGTTATTTCGTGCCTATATGATATAATATACATACGTTAGATGAAAATTGTGCACATTAAATAACTGGCTGATTAAATGAAATCAATATTTAAAAAGAACTTTTAATTAGGAATTTACGCGTCATGTTAGTTTTTTTCTATAGAGTTTTTATTAAGGTTTTTATTAGGATTTTTATTGGGATTTAGGTTAGAGTTTTAATAAGAGTATAATTAGGTCTTAAAAAAGTCGCCAATTTCATTCTAATCTGATTTCATTATAACCTGTGGCATTTATTTATAATATTTGGCGCAAGAACAAGCAATTTATAATCTAAATACAGGATGTAAAATAAAAACAAAATGTTTTATTGATCTAGGAAATCACTAATAAATTAATATGGATGTTTATTTTTACAGCTGGTTTAAAAATCCACTGTTACAATTCTACCTTCAATCATTGGTGCAACGGTAACCCAGTCCCTTATAAATTCAGCTTTCTTTGGTTCTTCTTCCACCGCTGAAGTGGGTGTAGATATTACCTCATCATCATAACCTTCTATATTCACATATTCACACATAGAGAGAGAAAGTGCATTGCTAATTCTTTTGCGAGATATGTTTCCATACGCTGATTTCTCTCGTTTAGTTTCTGCAAGCTTTTTCCACGAATTCGCGGCTTTCAAAACAGCTTGATTTTTACGGCTCATATTATACTTTATTGCATTAATGTAATAAAGGCCAATGAAATATCGTCTGACTAAAGTAGAAAGAATCAATCCAGCTTCATCATCCACAAGGTATTTTGTAGTTGGTTCAGCAAAAGCCTTGTAGCCATCACCACCTGATGCCAAATAAGAACGAGTACAAACTGTGTATGTCTTTTGCATATCAAGTTTTCCAATAATTCGATGTGGGCCAGGATCTTCAGATATGTTTTCATCATCATCACCTTCACCATCTTCGGTAATGGGATTTTGTCTCTCGGTAAGCCACACATTTCGCAAACGATCATTGGGTTCTGCATTACGATTATATTCTATTTTCAATCCACTTACAATTGGAAACCGACCTTCTTGTTTAGGAACCATTGAAACGGCATTTTGCAAAACGTCCCATATCTGACGTCCAGTAACACGAATAACAACAACTGTATCTTCGAACGGAAATATTTCGAGTAAATCACCCAATGTGATTTCTTCATCATATATTGAATCTGATCTAATACTTCCACCAGCTAAAATAGCACAATCAATATTAAAATGAACACATGGTTGATAGGCATAAAACATTAAATCTGCAACAAAGTTTCCAAATGCTGTCTCTTGTGTACGAAGCATTGAAGAACGACAATCCCAGGGTTTTAAAGTATAAGCTATAGGTTTTGACATTTTTCCTTTGATTTCTGATGTTACCGAATCAATCAAAGTTGCATGATGTTCATCTTCAACAATAGATGAGTTAACTTCACGTCGTGTCACTATGAATTATAATTATCTTATTATAAAAAACTGATTAAATACAAATCGGTAAAAATGGATAACAACAAACCAGTTATAGTTTTTATTCTTTTATGGGTTCGTCCCTCTTCATTGGTGATTTCATCAATATCAAGTTCAATGATACTTAATTCTCTGAAATCAGTTCCACTCTTCACGACTCGTACGCCATCATCATCCTTAGATTCTTCTATAGATTCTTCTATTGTTTCATCTCTAGTCCATCCATTAATAACATCACATCCTTTGCCGATGTAATAAAAATGATCATGTCTATTTAAAAAATTTTATATATGACGTGAAAAAAATTTAATATAGAATTAAATATAAAAAAATTTAAAATAATCATTTAAACAAATTACCCTCCAAGTATCAAATCAATATCATTTTTACATTGTTTAGCAAGTATAATGTCATTTGATAGCCGACAGTGTGTGAGAGCAATAATAAGGTCAACGGCGTAAGGACCGTTGGGATCACGCAACTGTGTAGAAAGTTCTTTTCCAGTACTCACAAAATCTTTATACAGTAAATTTGATGGAAGGTTAGGAATGGTTTCAAGCCATTCTCTAGAATCAATAAAAAAAAATTTTTTTTTTTTTTTATGAATAGAAATTAATCGAATGATTGAGATGAATATTTAAAAAAGGTGAACCAAATATATTATAATTATGATTTTACTTTTCAACCAATCCTACAATTCCAAGTTTGAGCCCACCCTTTTCCAGAATTACAAATTTTTTACTTCCGACTAGAGTTTCATTAGTGGTCGAATCAACAACATTAGCGAGAAGCCAAGGGAAATTAGACTTTTCCACCAACATTTTAAGAGTTGGTAATCCAAAATCGAAATCATGATTTCCAAGACAAGACGTGTCAATTCCAAAATCATTCAATGACGGTACCTAATTCATAATTTTATAGTTGATTTATTAATTAACAATAATTAAAACAAAAGGAATCGATACTCGAAATCGAAGAATACCATGTGCAATCCTTTACTAATGCTACTTTCAACTGATGGATTAAACGCATCGCCACTAAAGAACACGCAAGAGGTTTCAAAACCATAATTTTCACGAAATTCTTTGACTAAAGTAGAAAACCGAGCAGCACCACCAACAGGTTCATTTTTTTGTGGACTAATATGATATACATCATTAAAATGAAGAATTTGTAAATTGGGCATTTTAAATTGAATCAAAGTTTAAATTTTACTTTAAGTTCGATCAGAGAATTGGTGTCTCTTTTTCATAAGTTTTTTTTTTTTTTTTTGACTGTAACACGTAGCACATGTATGTATGCACTAACACGTACGTACATACAAAAATTGCTCTATTCAGCATTCGTTATTTATAAATGTTACATACTAAATAGAGCCAATATAATTGAGCTTATGAGAAAATATACACCAATTCTCGATCTTTTATAAGTATTATTTGCGTACATATGTACGTATGCAAATGTTATGTACTGCACCATTTAATGTTAATGATTCAAATCATAATTTAGAAAGTCTCATGTTGCAGGGATCCATGAATTTCATTTTAAAACGGCAGATAGGATCGATCCCGGGTCACAACAAATCTAGACACATGCTAAATCCGTTTTGCTGTCATATCTCGAGATTAATTAGATATTTAATATTTATACGTTAACCAATCTTTACTCTCCATTTAAGGTTCTTATTTATCCTACACTCTGTTGGAATTATCGTCTTAATATTACCAGACATACTATACATACGTAGTACATTCGTACACTACAACACTATAAAACATAGCATATCGACATGCACGACAGTGATCGTTAAAGCCTATTACCTCACCCGATATTTAATTAGTGTTAGGGTTTTAAAATTCAACAGATCGATTGACGATCATTAACTGAAGATTTCTCGCCAACTACCATACTAAGGTTCAATAAAAATTTTTAAAGCCATTCATTATTTATAATTAATTTTTTTAAAAAACAGTATAAAAAAATAATTATACTATAATAATTACCAATAAAATATATAAATATCACAATCAAAAATAATTTTAAAAACTAGAATAAGATTTATAATACGTATAATACGTGTAATTAAATTGGTAACAATTACTATTATAAAAACATATTTTAAGATTATTATAATTATTTTTAAAAATGCAAAAATACAGTGCTGAAAATTTAAATAATAGTAATCTGTAGTTTTGAATCATGATCTATGATACCATATAAATGTCTTTTTTTAATTAATCAATAATTGTGTGTGCATATCTCCATTTTTTTTTTTTGAAATTTTATAATATTTTGTGATGACTAAGTGTAATTTCTTTATTTGACTGTGATTAAGAGAAATTCTGTAATTCTTTGTAAATTACAGACAATCATTGTTCTTGAGTTATAATTAGGCTAAGGTAAAATTGCAAGTGGAACTTTTTGATTGTTACATGAGAGAATTATCCTAGTAAAATTTTGAAATATTGACATTTTTTCAAATTTTAGTATAAGGGGGTAAGACTCGCCCTGGGTAAGAAATAAATTTGTTCATTCTTTAATTCTACGATCTTATATAATTGCTTAAAAAGATTTCATTGGAATTGTCAAGAAATCTTTGATTAAAGTTAAAAAAAAAAAGAACCAAAAATTTGAAAGATCGTGTTTACTTGATTTGTTAATACGTATGTTAGGGATTATGTAGATCTTTATATAGGCCTATATATTATGACACTGTGCAATATATGTTATATAGATATTAACGTTACTGAACATGAGTAATTAACATGAGTAATTATCGTTATTATAAGCGCCTAGTATTGCATAATTATATATATATGATGAATTGATTTAAATACTTTGATAAACATGCATTTATAATTTGGATAACTGAACAAAAAAAAAGGCGTATTTACAAATTGACTAAAAATAAGTTAATACATAATAAGTATGTACATCTTGAATACGAACTTATTAGATTGTATACCTTTTCCAAATTTGGAACATTTCATATTCAGACACTGAAAAGTAAGGTGTGTCCTTTGTCCTTCTAATTGTTTTTTCATATGCATGATGATGACTATAACAACCATCGTAACTGAAATTAAATCCTCCTAAATAAAGATCATGTAAATTAAAATAACTACCGCCAAACGTTGGTCCATTAAAACAAGTTCCATCACTATAAATTGCATTATCTATGTTTTTTACGCGACTTATGATAGAGGATTGAATAGTACCATTTTTTAATGAAAAAATAAAGCTATCTTCACAACTTACAAAATTGTGATGTGAACCATTCCACCCAACAGGATTATACCCACCAAGAATTTCATCACTATTTTTAACTTTTATAATTAAAACAACATTTGCTTTCTTATCACATAACCTCCAAAACGTATCAACAGTAAAACCATCCCTGCTTCCACGAAGAAGTAATCTAAATTCATATGGATTGTCTGATACTGAATATATATCAACTTTTTTATCAACCCATGTTGCAATTTCAGCTGCATGCTCTTCACTAATGACTGTTGAAAAAAATGGATTAATCTTGCTGTGTGGATTAATTACCCAAGATGGTAATTTTGGTGTTTGAATCTTGCGAGGTGAATTAATTACTCTAGGTGTTAATGTTGGTGTTGAAATCTTATGGTGTGGATTAATTACTCTATTTGGTAATGTTTGTGTTGAAATATTTCGGGGTGGAAAAATTAATGTTGATATTTGTCTATCCGGAACAGCAAGTCTTTTGAATATATCATTCCAAAGACTTTTTTCAAGAATTTTTTTGTAAGATTTCACTTTATCAACAATATCTTCATTAGATATTTGAAAATAACGGATAAAAGGCAAACAATTCTTTAAAATGGTCTTTAAGGTAAGAAAATTTTCACGAGACCAATCTTCAAGTTCAGAAGGTAAATCAGTATTTTGAGCAATTCCCCATCTGATAACATGTTCCCAAATTTTCCCTTCATCCATTTGTAAATCATCTCGCTTAATGAACGAGATTAATGCATTTTCTGGAAGTGATGTAAATTCTTCTGAATCAAAAACTTTATCTGGATACTTGGCTATAATATTATTGCACCATTTCTGTAATTCTTGAAATTTTTCGTTTTGAAAACTTTTATGATAAATACGTGTAAAGTGTAAGCGGAGCCAATGTGCATTTTTTTTAATTAACAGACTTTCAAGGTGTTTGGATAGTTCATCAAGAAGAAACTCTGAAGCAATAAGCATGAGTTCAAAAATAAATGACGCATTTTGATTTTTTAACAAAGCTGTTCCTCCATAAATATATCTTTATCAAAATTAATAAGTTTAGTGATTTAAATTAGTACATCATAAAAAATAAATAAATCCGAATAACTTTTATAGGTCCACCAAAGTAATTACTTACCTAATAATTATTTCAAACTGTTGAATAGAAACATGTTTGAAATTAATGATTTTAATGTTATTTTTATCTTTGTTAATTTTTGCTAATTCATTACAAAAATACAAAGATCTACAACTTAAAATATTCGAGTGCGCATGGAATATCTTTGTTTCTGCTGATTGTCCAACATTAATAACTACGTTAAAATCTTCTTTATTATCAAGAAGTTCAAGGTAATCATTTGAAAGCTTTTCGAATTACTTTACTGCCATTTTGAATTTACCATTCTAACTTGATTCATTGCACCCTTTTAAAGAGAAAATAGTTACACATAGTTGAGGAACCGGATTAAGGTTGTTCTCAAGCGCTGATTTATAAGGTGATCGGATTGGCTAGAAAAAAAAAGATTGTGATAATTAGGTCAAAAAAACCTGGACCTGGCAACTTCTTATTTTCATAGAGATGCCTAATTAGCTAAAATTTAAATTTCGCATTTCGCATAATGATTTTTCGGTCGAATTAAGTTCAATTAATCGAAATAATTGAACATCTCGATTACTAGCAAATTACATTGCTTGAAAACAACCTAAAGATGGTGGGTATATCAATCATTTCCATATGAATTTCAAAATATGCTATTAATGAAAATTTTTTAAAGTCATAATTTTTATAAAAAAGTTTGTTGCTTGTAAACCAAAACCTGTTATTTACAGTAATAAAAACTTTTAAAAATTACATTTAATATATATGGTTTTTTTCGCTACCCAATTAAATTTGAATACGTTATTATTAGTTAGATAATAATTACTACATATTATAGTCATAACGATAAAAAAATTCAAAAAATAATTGTATATTGGCTAGGTGCTGGAAAAGGACAATTTTTTAAAAAGGGTTTTTTATATCAATCAATTTAGAATAAAACTAGAATCATTTTTTCACTTAAGATACAAGAATGACTGTATTAATAAAATTTTGCAGTATAGCTCTTTAAAGTTTACATTTTCTTATGATTTATTATAAGACTTATAATATAAAAATTGATTTTCCGAAGGTCTTGTTTTTTATCATTTTCGGCCCTTTTCCCAGTACCTAGCCCATGTATTTTACTTTTGCAACTTGAGAATGACCGAGTCAATTAGATAATTTTGGTTTAAATAAATGCATTTGACCCTCGTTAATATCAACCTCATTAATGTCAACCTAAATACTAGATTGAATTTCTATATATTAAAATTATATTAAACTTCCCTCAGATATATCAACTTTTAATATGATCATTATAGCGAAATCCACTTTGTAGATCTGGTTAGGGTGAACGTGATTTAAGCAGATTTCTTATAGAATTGTTCTATACGTAGTAGTCCTCTATTATTTTTGATCCAGCTTTTTAATTTGGTATTCCCTTAAAAATGAAAACTGCTCGTGTAACGTTAGTCAGGCTATGCGTAGTAATTATTATATTATACCCGGAATAACTACCGACACAGCATACACGTGATCTAATTCCCTAACTCTGCCATACTACACTAACCTTAACTATTGTGTTGTAGTTAAAGTTAGTGCTGGTCATCAGCTGTGTCAATAAGCTGTGTTCCCAAAATTTACGAATAGATTATGCACTGTATATACTAAAAATAATAGATACATTAATGCACATGGTATAAAAATGCGATTTCTAACATTATGCCGATCAATCAAAAAACTCAATCTCATGTCTTTGCCCGAATCACAATCTTGGAAAAAAATCCGTTTAAATTCCGGAAAAGCAGTCAATGCAGAATCAAAAGATACTGACCAAGTAGATAATGTAACAATTGATAAAGATGAACAAATAGATTCTAATGAAAATGCGGAATTAAATGAACAAGTGGTTTCAAACTGGAAGATTCAGGAGCAGGATGTTGGTTTAACTGAATATGTTGATGCATCCATTCCGGGATTTTCAGCAATCATTAAGCAGCGGTATAATTGATTAAATCTTTGGTAATTTTTCAATTAGAGATAATAATAACTAATTTTAACGTTTAGATATTCAGATTTCTTAGTTTATGAAATTGATCAAGATGAAAACATCGTTCACATTACTAATACTGATCTACCGAAGGACAACAATGTCGATAACCAATCTTCTAAAACATCTAACGATGACATAACGGTATATGGTGTTTATTAATTCTTTAATTCTCATTGATATGTTATTTTATATTTTATAATTGATCAGCCAATAATATTTTAAAGGTTATTTCAACTGATCAAATATTTCTTGACATGAAATCTTTACTTGATGATGAAATTATTGAGAAGGTTAAAACTTTATTGAATACTGAAGGACGAGATCCCTCATTCGTTGATACGAAAGTATATATAAAATATTTTAACGGGTATCTTTCATAAAAATAATGATTATTCATATATTTAACTTATTGTCTAATTAATCTTAAAGCCGGAAAAAGACAAGGATAAACGAACAATAATTCATCAATTTTTCAAGAAACATTTTGGTGATAAATTAAATACAGAAACTAAAGATGGTGCAATTAGAATAAGCATGCATACCTCGAAGACTCGAAATGGTATATATTATTGTCCGGCAATTGTTACAGTTTATAAATATTTGATCATATTAAATAAGCCATGTGGCACTAAATATATAAACCGAATGTTGATTTTAATTATTTTCTTTAAGCAATATTATTTGAATGTTTATATGTAAAATTCCTTGGTTTAAAAAAAATATGATCAAAAATTGGTATGGCAGTAACAACATAAACGTTACGATAATATTTCTTATTAGAGTAACCATGTACATGTAAATGTTTGCATTTATTTTATGATTTGTAGACCGTAGAAACAAAAAACGTGAATTTGACCAGTGGGAGGCATTAGGTGGTCCCTTTTGCCGTTTTGTTCTATATAAGGAGAATCGTGATACTATGGAGGCTATTAACTTATTATGCAAGAGAATGAAGTAGGTTTTTTTTCAAATATCTTACAATATTTTATATTTTGGTTTCATATATTAAGGGCGATAACTTATATCTTAAATCTCTCAACTTTTAGAGTTCATTCTCGTGTATTTTCATATGCCGGGACAAAAGATCGTCGTGCTATTACAGTTCAAAAAGTCACTGCTTCTATGATCAAGGCTGAAAGACTTATAGGACTAAACGCCCGTCTCCATGATATGAAGTTAGGAAATTTTGAGTAAGAAAATAGCTATAAGAGGAACGCTAGTAATCACATACTACAAATAATACATCTTATTTGCATTTATAGATACGTGAAAGAAGGATTAAAACTTGGTGACTTAAGAGGTAATCATTTTGTTATTACACTAAGGTGAGTAAACTTTTAATTCATATGGCAATTAGACTGAAATTGGCCGATGCTGAAATTTGAGAATTAGAATTGTTAATTAAATAGTATAAATAGATTATAATAAGATTTATATATTCAAATAGGATTCTAAACTTTCAGCATGAGCTGCCATAATTTCCATAATTAATGACGTAGATTAATTTTCGTACATTACAAATTACAGGAAAGTTCAAGTTGAATCTGAAGAAATCATCGATAAGGCCATGAATGTTCTGCAAGAACGTGGATTCATAAATTATTATGGTGCGGTATTGCTAGAAGAAACTATTATCTATAAAAATATTTTTTTAAACGCGTTATAATTTATTAGGGATGCAACGTTTTGGAACTTCTTCAATTTCGACATATGAAATCGGCCGCGCCTTATTACAAAATAATTGGGAACATGCTGTTGACTTGATATTAAAACCACGGGTGGGAGGTATTATATATATATATATATAACTATCATTCAGACTTTTTTTTTTTCTTTTTGATATCCAAAGTAACCTAGACATTGCGTTTTATTACTTATAGATAGTAAAGATCAGCAACAAGCTAGGCAACATTGGGCAGAAAATCATGATGCTAAGAAAGCTTTGGAACTATTTCCAAAGAGATGTGTTGCTGAATGTCATATTCTTTCTTCATTCGTAAAAACCGGTCATAACAAAGATTGTGCGGGTGCACTTGTTTCTGTATGTCATACGAACCATTGTCTACTTTATCTTATTACATATAAATTTAACAAGGTATATCTTACATATAGATGCCAAGAAATCTTCGCCTTATGTATGTGCATGCTTATCAATCATATATCTGGAATAAAATGGTGTCCGAGAGGTTACGTATCTTTGGTTGTGATAAACCAATAGTTGGAGATTTGGTAATTCTTGATGATGATGAGTTAGGGGATGATATTGCCGACAGTGATGTCACCATTAATTCTGAGGACAAAAAGGTATGCATGGTTTTTGGTTTCTATATTATATGTATTACAGCCATATCCATATCAGATCTATAAATCACTACAGGAGATTAAAGTAAAAATCTTAAAAGAGGAAGATATACCGAATTACACGATCTATGATGTTGTGTTACCTTTACCTGGATATTTAGTTGTATACCCAAATAATAATATATTTGAGAAATATAAAGAATTGATGTGGAAGGATCATTTGGATCCTCGTGAAATGAAAAGAAACATAAAGTAAATTGTATTTATTTTTTCATTTCAAATAATCAACTTTTGATATTAGTTATTTATTCTTACGTAATCTTTAGAGATTTTTCATTATCCGGAACTTATCGCAAGATAATTGGAAAGCCTATTGACGTGTCCTGGTTTGATATTTTTTGATTTAAATGGGGGTGAGTCAGTAGAAATCAAGCAAATTGTTTTTATTGAATTTTTTTAAAAATTTTACATGCCAATACCTAAACAAAAACTTGATCAAATTTAATAAAAAATTTTTTTAAATGAATTCTATAAGTTTGTAGAATTCATTTAAAAAAATTTTTATTAAATTTGATTAAGTTGTTAAGTTATTGTTATTTAAAGTTTTAAAAAAATTTACTTAAAAAAATTTGCTTGATCTCTACTGACTCAACCCCAAATATAACTTTGCATTTATAAATTTTCTCATTGTAATATGCTATTATCAATATTCTTAAGGAAAACACTTAGATATGATGATCCAAATATACCTTTATCATTAAATGACCTAGATATTATTAACGGGAAAATGGAGCCTGAAAATGTTCCAGGTATTTATTAATATATTTAACATAATCGATTTAATCTAAACACTTTAAGTTTATTAATACACTTTTCTGTAACTATAAAGATGGTAAATTATTAGCACTAAGAATTCACATTTCTTTATCAACTAGTCAATATGCAACAATGGCTCTTAGAGAGTTATTAAAAACGAGTCTTGACTCTTTCGATAGAAATTAGTTGTAACTCTATTTTATTTTATATAATTAAAATTTTAAATAGTAACGGTAATTTTTTCTTTTTAAATAAATACATAATATTTACTCGTTAACATTATTTGAGATGACATTAGGGTTGTTATCGGGAGTATCATACTCCGATGCACTCCAAAAACCAGACTGGAGTGAGTTATAAAATATATTAAGTAAAATATTCAAACCAGTTTGCTAAACTGGAAACCAAAGTGGAGTATTATATTAGAAATTAGTACTCCAAGCTGGTTTGAACCCCAATTCATTAACAACCCTAGATGCCATATAAATAAATTTATACCCCATCACTAAGCAAGATATATTATTGGTTGAAAGCAAGTTATGGTATATAATTTGTTTTCTGGATGTTATTTCCTTTTTTATTACTTTCGGTAAAACTTTGATTTAGATTAGATAGACGAAAATTTACACGGCCTTTTAAAATAGAATATATCCAAGTATATGCGGTATATGAAAATTAAGTTTATGGTATGATATTACATCAGTGTTTATGGTTTTTGCATAAAATTACTTTACTAACCAGTTTAATCATGTCTTAAAAAAAAATCCTGTATATGTACAAGGACTTGTGAATAACATGACCATCTCAGGGTACTCGTACAAAAATTCGAGGTTTAAATAGTGCATTGTTTCACTTTTTGGAAATTATCACATGAACGGTTGAATGTAGCACGTACATAACAAATCTGGAATGATAATCTTTGGCACCAAGACCAATTACATGATAAATAAGCACATACGAGGTAATTTTTATTTCATAAACTCTACTATGGACGAGGATTCTAGTGATTATGAAATAGAAGAAAATGGTAAAAGCTGTAATTTATTTGATTTACATATTAAATTATACATTATATATACTTATTTTTTTTTTTTGGATATTCTCGAAAAAGATAACTGGCATTGCGAAAAACCCATATACACGAAACCTTTAAGTGAAATAAGAGTCGATTACATTACTAATAACAATCGATGGCTTCCTGCAGCGCCAAATTCGCCAATTTCGTTGATCTTGCGTCCCGATATGAATTCAATTGCTATATCAATAGGTGAACATGAGGTTCATCTAAACTTTAGAGATATCAGAAATGCAAGGTTGACAAGCTACGGTGATGGTGAAATAAAGATAAATCTGAACCGGAATTATGAAAAACGAGTAAGAATGATATAATAATAATTGTCACGGCTAAAGCTGGTAATTAAGGTCCTCGATTTAAAATATTAAATCCTACCAAAATCCATTTATACATTTTTAATTATTAAAACTATCCTAAATCCTAAACTAACTATACAAAAAAAGCTAAAAAAAAAAAATGCATCCCCAAAACATTTTGAAAAGTTTCATATTAAAGTATTTAAAATTTCCAGCTTCAGCTGTGACAGTAATTATTCTGTTTTGAAAACTTTGTGAGTCTTAAATTGTCATGAAATTTTATTGCAGTATTATAAAGCAAATCATAAAGATGGTCGATTAATTCCCCTTATTGACAATCCTTTTAATGATATTTTTGACGATGCCATGATACTTATGTTTAATCTGACTAAAGGGGTTACTAATGCTCTTCGTAAAGACTTTGTAGAGTGTTTGTGCGACCAACTGCACAAAGAAAGATTGCGTCAAAATAAACAAAACAAGGTAATCATTGCAAATTTCGAATTAGATAAAGTTTAATTATTTTAAAATATTTTTATTTTTTGTTTTTTTTTTATATATCTTCTAGGACCGGCACAGGTTCAGATCCCCAAAAAACTTTTACAAAGGAGAAAATTTTACATCGCGAAGGGATTCAAAGTTAAAAAAGATGCCTTTTCAATCGCTTAAAAAGCATGCAACAATTAATGATGATAAAAAACATGTATTTAATGAGAAATCTGCTGACAATAATGATAAAAAACAAGTATTTAATGAGAAATCTGCAGATAATAATGTTAAAAAACAAGTATTTAATGAGAAATCTGCAGATAATAATGTTACTAATGGCCTCCCTAATAATGCCTCTAACGACACTCCAATTCAAAAACAAAGTGAAAAAGTAGATGAAAGACATGGAAAATTCAAGGTAATTGTCTTCTATTATTAATGGTATGATATTAATGAACAAAATAGAAATCAGCTAATTAAGATTTCCAAATTCTTATAAAATTGCATTATTCTTTATAGTTTTTAGTCATTGTTAGATATGGGCCACAATCTATAAAGATAGAATGCCAACAAAATACTACACTTGATACAGTGTTGCTTATTGCAGAATTATTATTTTCACTTATTTCTATTGAAAATTTACAATACAAAAATATTGAGGGCAATATTATCGATATTAATTGTGAAGAAAATTGGAAAGCAGCAAAGTGGGAAATGAATAAGGAAAATAATGATAAGATTGAAGTTTATATTCAATCCTAAATGCGGATAATTAATACGGTAACGTTAGATAGTTGAAATATAATATATTAAAAAGAAGTTTTTTTTAATTTATACTAGCATATAAAATACATGTATACTTGGCAATTATTAACTTAAGATTTGAAGATAAAAAATTATAAAATTAGGTTGGAGTTTAGAGTTTGGATAATTTGGAAAATTTTTGAGTTTTTTGTTAAAATCCTAAAAATAGGTTAATAGGCAAAGTTTTATTATTTTTAAATTATAGATTAGTAAAGACAAATCTATATTTTTATGTAAAAACAAATTTGTGTTTTTATTGCAAATTTTGGTTTTGATTTATTTTTATAAAAATTTTAAGATGTTTAACTAATTTTTTTATAATTATATTATGTATTTATTTTTATTTTATAGAATAAATTAAAATTTTTTAATAATAATTTGAATTAGATTTGTACTAAAAGCAAATTAAAGATTCAATACTTTAGGCAAAGTTATTAGTTCTATTTTTTGTTTTAAAAAATTTGTTATTAATAAAGTAATTTTTTTTCTTCTTTGACAATTTTGCTGAGATCTTTTGTGTCTGTATATATTTTGAATAATGTTTTCAATAGTAAAGATCTGAACCTTGATCTCTTTGATCTGTACTTTAAACTTTTCAGAGGTGATTCATTGCACCAATTTCTACCAGTATCAGAAGGTTTGATCAGGTTCTATTTAGAACCAGTTATGCATCATGAATTTATATAGTATCTTATAAGTGTTAAACTTTTAGCCTTATATTATGTTTTATAATTTTGGTTATTTCAAATTGGTTCTAATTTATATTCTTTATCATATAGTTTCTCAATTGCAGATTACTTGTTATTTTTAGAAATAAGTTCATTTATTGATGTTCTGAGTCTTTGGTCTCATGATGTTATAGTTCTCTATTTTTAGAAATGTATCTTCACAATTGTTGTTACTAGGATTTGAACTAGCAGTTTTGTGATTTGTGATCTCAGAATATAACCACTATGCTATTAATCCTAAAGGTTCTTAATAAAGTATTACAAAATATAAAGTACTAAAAAGTAAATATAACTTGTAGTAGTTTGTATTAGAATTAAACTTATTTTAGTAATTTTTTTATATTTAATATTCAAGTTAAAAAAATTTTAATAACAAAAAACAAAAATTTGTTAAAATTAACAAAGCTAAAATACTTTAAAAAATAATTTAAAAGTATATTAATTAATTCTAATCATTTATTTTTTAATTATTTTTTTTATTTTTTTAAAAAAAATCAAAAAATTTAATATATTTTTTAAAAAATTAATATTATTTATTAGGAGTGTAGTGACTTAGTAAAGTGAATAAGTTGTCAATCTCTCAAGTGGTAGATAATAAGTTCAAAACCCATCAATAACAAAAATTTGGATAATCTCCTATGTAATACATAGGTAGTATTACAGTAACAGCATTCTGTTAATTAGTTAGGATAAGATACTTATAACTATAGTTATACTAGCATAACTGGCAGGTCATAGAGCATCTGTGCAATGTTGAAGTTACACAAAAAATGTAAACTAACATCAGGCAGTGCAAATACAAGATAAGTCCTTGTGGTTGTATAAATCTATAGAATCAGGAATTTGAAGCCTACTTAGAAAGATCCAGATAAAGAGATAGCATGAATCTTTAACAGTACTACTGTAAAGACTAGATCTAGAAAATAAATACTGATACAGAAGACATCAGGTGAGCAAGAACCTCGAGTGAAGGGTACTACCAATTAGGTTATTAGAAGTCTCGAACTAGAGAAAAAGAATCTTGAAAAGCAAACTCTTAGAATATCAGGAACATAATACAGTTCTTCTAACCTATCTGGATTAAGAGTCTAAGGTCTAAGACAGAATATAGCTAAGTATTAAAAATATGTTATGAAGTTGATATTGAGGTTTTGGTGAACTTTACAAGATAAGTCTTATTAGCAAAGATTAAATATAGATAGTTAGTTAGCAGAAGCCTTCTAGAGTTCTACAGTCAGATGACATATTCTGAAATATGTAACAGCTTGATGAATGTACAGACAGAAAGGTCAGAGTTAGATTAAACAGTACTTAAAATAGATGTAGAGAAGCTTGTGTATTATCTGCTAGTGTAGATAACCTTGTACAAGTTATGTAATTATAATTAAATTTACAATAAAGGCAGTAGCTGCCAATAACTAACAGCTTTACAAAAGCAAAAAAAAAAATATATTATTTATTATTTTTTTAAATAATTATATATTAAAAATAAAAAGCAAAAACAATATAACAAATTAAATAAAGTTGAGTTCTATAGCTTAGTTATTAAGCTTTTATTTTTTTACAAACAAGATTAATAGTTTGAGTTTGATTAAAGATAAAATATTCTATAATCAAAAATAAAAACTATAATCAGATACAAAGTTTTGTAGAAGTTCAAGCAAATGTTCATATTTAATTTAAGAAATTCTTAAAAAAAACTAATATAAAGTACATAGATACTACTATAGCAAAAAATATGAAGAATATTATCAATATTTGTGAAAATAATTGGCTTTATTTAATATAGAATTACCTCTGACATTATAAATTCAAATAGGTATAGTCATAAAATTTACTTATATTTAGTAGAGTTTGTATTAAAAATAAAGTAGTTCTAAGATTTATTATTAAAAAATTAAGTTGGTATTATAAAAAAAATATCAAAAATTGGATCTCAAATGCTAATGATAAATGGAAAGCATTTTATCATATATGTAATATTGAAAATATCAAAATAATTAGACAACAGATTAATAAAAATATAGCTAAAAGATGTAATAAACTTTAGTCCTAACCAAAATCAATAATTAACAGTATATTAAACCATCACAAAGATCTAGTAAAGTTTGACAACATCAAAACAGATCATAATGTTGTTATAGAAGTACAGGAAATCAAAACACATATTCAACAACACTTCAATCAATGGACAGCACATAGACAAATTAATCAACAAATCTACAACTCCTTTTGGTATAATGAATATCAACCTAAAACAAACATTCATTCAGAATGGCATTAAGAGGTACTAGCAGAATTCTCTAAAGAAGAAACTTCTACCATACTTGCAAAACTTCCAAATAATAAAGCTTGTGGCCCTTTAGGTATAAGTTATGAAATATTTAAAAATGCAGGTTTATCATTTCTTCAAGCTATAACTATTCTATTCAACAGATACATTTTAACCAACAGCATACCCAAACAATGAAAAGAAGGAAGAATCTTCTCTATCTCCAAAACACCTATCTTTGATAGAAGTTTAACTAATATTAGACTTATTAGTCTTTTAGAACATATTAAAAAATTATACACCAAACTTCTTACCAACTGCTTAAACACTACTTTTACCTTATATTCAATACTATCTTCATATAACTATATTGCTCTTCTTGATAACAGTACAGCAATACCAATCCATATACTTAACAATATAATCAAAAAAGCTTCTTGCAATTTCAAAGAACTTTGGCTTATATTCCAGAATATGAGCAAAGCCTATAATTCAGTAAACTCTGACCTCATTTGCAAATCTCTAATATAAATCAACATGCCATCTAAATTAGTAAAAGTTCTTACTAATTTGCTTGATAACTGCCACAACCAAGTTATAACTAATTTTGAACTTATAGACTCATATTCTGTCAAAAATAGAATTAATTAAGGAGAAACAATTACACCATTATTTTAGTGAATTTACTATGACTCTCTTATTCACAGAATTGCATCTCAATTTACAGGTTATACTTTTTTAACATTATAAAAAACCAGTCTACAACCTTCTCAACATCAACATCTTCAAGTCTCTATCTCAGTTCTTGCTTATATAGATAACACATTATGAATTGCCTAATCCAAAAATAAGTTAGAATAAATTACTCAAATGGCAGCATCCTTTTACTAAATAGCTAACCTTCAGATTAATCCTACCAAGTTAATATTTGCTACAAATACCAAATCTACTTCTATTACCTTTCTTAACTCTATTATCAACTCTATTCCTAATAGCCAACCTTTCAAATACTTAGGTTGCTGGTTTACACTTAACAATAAACAAACCCATACAATTAAATTAATTCAAAAAGAAGCTTTTTAACTAATTAATACTGCAAATACAAAAAACATTACAGACAAACAAATTACTTA